TAGCACCTAACAACAACATCATACATGCATACATATTTGCATTTGCACACCCACACACTTATATATAATTGCATATGCACAAGGATTGTATAAATGCACAAGGATAAATTTTGAAGTATTGCTACAAAATCATGTGATTATTAAGTGCCATTGAGTTGGCTCCAATTCATAGAGATAGAGGTTTTCCAAGGATCAGCTGGTAGGTTTGAATCACTGACTTTGCAGTTAGCAATCCAGTGCTTATTCGACAAAATCATAGGATCATTTATTAAACAAAAACATCAATGCATGACATTATTATCCCCTACATCTCCTCCATATATATCTTTATACTTTCTAACGCAGTATTTTCATCTCTGTAATGTTTCCCTAGAGAATTCTGCAAACTTCAGTTTGTTTTTGTTGTTGTTGTTATGTGCCATGGAGTCAGTTCCAACTCATAGTGACCCTGTGCAGGGTTTCCGAGGCAGTAAATCTTTATGGGTGCAGAAAGCCTCCTGCGGAACAGCTGGTAGTTTAGAACTGCTGACCTTACGGTTCACAGCCCAATTCGTAACCACTACCCTACCAGAGCTCCTTTTTTACACCACATTAAATAGACAGTTTTAACATCTTCCAGGCACTCAAGTTATATTCCTTTCCAATGCTCTTTGAGTGTGGAGAATGAAGAGAAATTTTAAGGGGCAAGATCAGGGCTGTAGGGTGGTTGGGGTAAATTTTCTCAATGGAATTTACGTAGAATAGCCCTGTTGTTGTTAGGTGCTGTCAGTTCTGACCCATAGTGATCCTGTATCAGTTTCTGAGAAGTGACTGGGAGTTTGAACCACCAACCTGGTGGTTTACACATATCTTGCAGCCCACAGCGCCACACCAGAACGCCCTGTTGTTGTTATTAAGTGTCATCAAGTCAATTCTGACCCATAGTGATCCTGTATAGGGTTACCAAAGAGCAGCTGGTGAGCTTGAACCGCCGACCTTACAGTTCAGACAGCTTTGTAGTCTCATGCATTAACCCACAGCGCCACACCAGGACTCCTAGCTACCATCAATAACTGAGCAGGCGCACTGTCATCATGGAAAATACTCTTTGGTGCAATGTTACAGGCCTTTATTTCATCAATGCAGTTTTCAATTTTCATAAAACTTTTTTCAAATGAGCCCCCTTGATTATCCTGCATGTTTCAAGAAAATATATGAAGACAAGCCATTTGGAGTTTCAAAAAATAATCATTACAACTTTCTAAGTTGACCTCTCTGCCTTGAATTTAAATGGCTGAGGAAATCTCAGAAGCCACTGTTTGAACGGCCCATTTTGATAAGGCACCCTAATGAGACTAAGGAGACCTGTATAAGAAACCCTATACAGGGATGCAAATGGGTCAGAACTGACTTGAAGGCACTTAACAACAACCACAATGAGACTAAAATGAGCATATTACTGAGAGAACTTGTCTGCAGTAATTCACTGACCACAGAGACATGTTTAAATAAGTTTGTTGTTGTTGTTAGGTGCCATCAAGTCATTACCGACTCATAGCAACCTTATACACAGCAGAATGAAACACTGCCCCATCCTAGGCCATCCTCACTATTGTTGCCACACTTACTTTGTAATAAAAACCATGCATGTATCAATTGGCATCCTAGTAGCAATATTTTTTGACTTAGCCTTGTACGTATGTATTATTTGCTATTAATGTGTCTATTATTTATTTTTAATTTTGTTTAGTAAAGTTATTAATTCTTTATAACTGAGGAAGCTATACAATATTCTGAATCTGTTTTCTCTGTATTATTTTAGTTCATAAAACATTTTATTAACTAATTCTATTGATCTTCCATTTGTGATCAATTTTTAATTTGTATAATTCACACTAAGTCTATTTAATCCAGTAAAATAAATTATGATTAATTTGATACCATATACTATTAATTTCTGTATGTTATTAGGTACTGTTGAGTTGGTTTCAACTTATAACAACCTTATGTACAACAGAATGAAACACTGCCCAGTCCCACACCACTCTCACACTTACTGCAACATTTAAGCCCATTACTGCTGCCACTGTGTCAATCCATGGTATTTTTGTAGGAGACTTGGAATTCAAAGGTAATGGAAGTTTTCCATGAACTTTATGAAGTTCCCAAGTATATATGCTGGTGGCTCACCGCCAGGTCTGTAGCTAGTCTCTACCAGCCACTGTGAGGGAGAAGGATGAGGCATTTTGCTCTCTTACAGATTTACTGTCCTGGAAATGCTATACAGGGTTGCTATGAGTCGGTTCCGATTAGAAGGCACATACCCAAATCATTACTTAGGACATTTTGCTTTGTTTTATTGCTCTGTTTGACAATTTTAAGGCCAGTACATAAACTTTTGGAGTCCTGGTGTGGCAATGTAAAACATTGAACTGTAACCTCAAAGTCAGGGTTAAAACTCAGCAGTCAGTGCTCAGAAACCCTAAAGGATTGCTATAAGAGGGAAGCTACTTGACAGCTCTTAGCAACAACAACAGCATACACTTTTGCTTATTATGATATTTTTATACATTTGGTGCTTTTGAAATCATTAAGTTAATCTCTGCTTGTAAACACAGAATTTGTCATCTGCTCTAGAATTTTTACAATTATAGACATTCTAGAGAAGAAATGAAAGCTAATTTAAACAAAAGCCATTGTTGGTGAACTGAGAGGAAGAGAGAGTAGTAATCTAATGTGATTTGATAATATGGTTCAATTTGTCCTACTTTGCTCAATTTCCTAATAGAGTTATCCAGAGGCTAACTGTCATTTGTT